TAAGGTGGATGGGAAGTATTCCTTTAGAGATAGATTCTCTAAGCTGTATGCTTTTAAGAAAGAGGATCTTAAACACTTAGATGAATCACCTGTGGTAAATGCGGCCTTAATGAGGCTGGCAAGGCATGTCACGCTGCCCCTTGGTGACGCTGTTACCCTTAAGGATGTCTTGGACAGATGGGCAGATTTGGATCTTAAAAAGATCTATCTCTTGGCCGGCGGGGCCTGCAACCCTGCAGTTGCTATGGCAGTACCTTCCAAGGCCCTGGAGGCTTGGGGGGACAGCGCTGAAGCAGCAGTTTTGGAGGATCTTAGTAAATCTGAGATCTTAGACCGCTTAAAGAATATCAGATTGTCTTCTACATTCTTCACCGAAGTTCGGTCAATGTTAAATTTTAGCCAGAGTTATGTTGGCCGCAGTGGCAGGCAGAAGGGCTCTGTGGCTCAGACCGTGGGTGGTGGATCCCACATCCAAGCAGGGATGATGTAATTCCATTTGAGGGTCAGTTGCTACTCTGCAACAAACTAGACTCCACAACAGCTAAGGCCACTGGATGTCTCCCCAATGCAGAGCAGCCTGGGGTGGTGGTTCATGGACTGCAACCTACAAAGCTGACAGTCTCTCCTCCTTACCACATGGACGGTGAATTCCTCAGATGCCAGCGAATGGGGTTGGGGTGCTGTCTGTCTGAGCGAGGGTGCTCAGTGTCACTGGTCCTTTCCTGCAGTAGGGGTTGTCTCCAATGTCCTGGAGCTGAGGGCAGTGTTTCAGGCGCTATTGGAAGTCAGTTTTGCTGAAAATCGACAATACCTCAGCGATGGCTTGTATCAGGAGACAAGGGGATGCACGCAGTCGTGCCCTGCTGAAAGAAGTCTCTCCTATTATGACCTGGGCTCAGATCCATCTTCACTTATCGGCAGTGTACGTGTCCCCTCAATCACAAAGCAGATTATCTATCCAGAGTTCCTCTGGACAACGACGAGTGGTGTCTCATTGATCAAGTATTTCAGGACACGGGGTCCTGGGGTTTAACTCCAGAAGTAGACCTATTTTTGTCCCGAACCAACACCGAAGTCGTGAAGTTTTTCTCAAAGTTTCCATGTGCACAAGCAGTGGTGACGGATGCCCTGATAGCAGAATTGACATTTCGACGGCTTGCGCCTTCCCGCCAGTGCCTTTTCATACTACAATTTCGGAGGAGACTCCGGAGAGAATAGGTGGCTGTCCTGGCAGTGATTCCGAACTGGCCCAAGGGGCCTTGGTATCCTCTCCTCCGCCTGATGGGTATCCAGCCTCCACTCTTCCTATCGCCATTTCCCAACCTTCTTTCAAGGTCCGATCCTTCACCCAGCACCTGTGAAACTTTGCCTAGCAGCATGGATATTGAGAGTCGGAGACTTCTCACATTGGGTTGCTCAGATAGGGTAGTCAATACTCTTCTTCATTCTAGGAAGCCCAGTACTACTCTTCCTCACATTAAACGCTGCCTTTCTAGTTGCTATCACCTCCACCAGACGGGTTTTGGAGTTGGCTGCTCTTGGGTTTAAAGAACACTTCACCACTTTCCTGGCAGATGGAGTGATTCTAGTTCCCATGCTGAGGTTCATTACCAAGGTTGTGACTGACTTTCACATACACCAAGAAATTGTATTACCAACCTTCAAGTCATATGATGGGAGCCAGATTAGCCGCTTGGACTTATGTAATACGCTAAAAGCATATATTTTGGCCACGGAAGGGCTCAGGTCTACGGGTCATCTCTATTGTTCCGGCAGGTGCCAGGAAGGATGCTACAGCATCCAGTAGGCTCATAGCATCCTGGATAGGGAAGGTGCTATTGTTAGCATATGAGGCCGAGCACATAACTGTCCCAAGTTGGGTGTCTGCTCATTCCACTAGGAGTCTGGCCACATCATGGGCTGCACCCAATTGTGTTTCCTTAGAGACTGTGCAACTGTGAGACTGTGTAATGTGTAAAGCGGCCACATGGTCTTCTCCGCACACGTTCATGACACACTACTGTGTAGATCCAGCTGCCTTAACTAGAGTTGAATTCGGCCGTAGGGTTATTTCTTCTACCATGAGTTGTGAGTAAAAAAAATTCAAGCATACCCACCCCTGTTTTTGGCTAGTTAATTCCCATTCGTGTGCTGCCATGGAGCTGACAGGAAAATTGTATTTCATACTTACCGTAATTTTCCTTTCCTGTCAAGCTCCATGGCAGCACAAGGCCCACCCGTATTGTAGTAGAGTTACGGAACGGCAAGCCAGGGGACTCTTTCAGCTTTTATGAGTTACGATCCTGATTAGGGGGAGGAGGGAGGGATTAACCCATTTGTGTGCTGCCATGGAGCTGAACAGGAAAGGAAAATTACGGTAAGTATGAAATACAATTTTTCAGTTTTCCCCCCGATTCTGACACTGATCCGTCTCAGAATAAGAAAAAAAAAAGAAAAAGCAGTGTTTCTCTCCTTGGCGGCCAGGAGTGGGAGACTCCCAGAGCGCCGGGAGAGTTAGGCTTTTTTTTTTTCTTTTTTTTGACGGCAGCAGAACCGCTGGCCAATAGAAAACTGTTGGAAGAGCTAGCTGTCATTGCTAGCTCCGCACAATAGTTTTCTATTTTTAGAAAAGAGAGACCGAGAAAAGAGAGACCGAGCAGAACAGCCGCTATTCACTGCTGTTCGGCATCTATGAGAATAGACCGAACAGCTGCTAGTAGCCTGCTGGAGGTTCGGCTCAGTCGAACTCCTTCTGCACTGCTGAGCATGTTCGGCTGACCCGAAGCCACCCGATGTAGGCTGATTTCAGCCGATATACGGCTGAAATCAGCCGTACCAGCCGGAAGTAAATAGCCCTACAGCGTTCGGCTCACTTCGCTTTAGGTCGGTCATTCACTCGGCTGCCTACGGCAGCTTAGTGAATAGACCCATAGATCTTATTTTTGGGGTAGGTCTTTTTATTTTTTTCAATATACAACAATCCACACTTATTCATGCAGAAAAGTCTACATGTATTCATGCACAAAAATATGGTGATCAGGGCTATCGGGGGGTGCAGTACCTTTCCAAGAGCAATTTGGTAACCAATCGCTGGCCAGAATGAGCAAAGCACACTTTCACTATCGATTCCTCACAGGCGGAGTGCATTTGGTATCACTCCGCCTGTGACAGGAGCCGGCACTATAGAGGAGGCATCGGCTTATGCGGCTCTGCTCCCTCCGGTGCCGCTAGCCTGCCTCATTAAAGAGACGGCCCTGTGTGCTGCACTGCACCAAAATGCATGGTAGCCCACTACCTAGCGGTGTGATGCGCTGCACTACAAAAAAAAAACAAAACACATACTCGCCTTTCTTTTTTAACACAACACACGTTAATGTGCATCAATGTTATGCATTAACACACTAAATCCTTTAATGGTAAGATCAAAGAAGAGAGGTAGCATTCCTGAAGTACATAATTTTGTTCTTGTACTTCGAGGTAGAACTCTCATAGGAGCAATGGAAAGCCATATCTGCTGATATATTATATTTCTGGATTGCTGAAAAGTTTGCTGATGAAAAAATGAAAAAAGCACAAGACTATCTAATGAAGCAGCTTTTTGTTATATCTGGCACTCCAAATTGCCCTAAAACTTGAGGCAGAATACAGTATACTATACTGGATTCAGCTTTCTTGGATGATGCAGTAAAATTCTGCTTTCTAAAAAATGTCTAACATTGTTTTACTGAGTCTCCTTATTTTTAGCATCTGTACATTCTCATTTACAGGAGGCGCTCAGACAAAAAAAGGTTAAGTGGATTCCTAGGCAAAGCAGAATTTGAGTCACAAACAACAAGATTAAAAAAGAACTCTGGGCAAACTACACCTTGCATTTTATATCCTAGACCAAAACAAACACTGAACCCCTACAGTTCTGGAATAGCCCCATTGCAAGGATTAATTTGCCCTCTTTAGATTCTTCTTCTTTAAAATGAATACTATGTTAAATGTTAAAATAAAAACACAGCTTTTCCTTCGCTATTTACCATGAAAGATTTTACTTGCAGTATCTTTTCTGCCACTAGATGGGGTGCCTTCTGGCTTCCTCAAGGGTGCCTTGAAATTTTAGCATAGCCTCATGCCTTTCCATAGTGCAGTCAGGTTGGCTGTCAACACCATGGAAATTAATTACACTCAAATAGTGAGGGTGGGATACATTCAGAAAAGGATGGAAGTTAGACCTGCTCTGCCTCCTGCCCTCTGCTCTGTGAAATGGCAACAAAATACTACAGCCCCCTATGTGATAGCATACTAGAAGTGACAGATTCTATTTAAGGTGACATTAGGGGTCATATAGCGCTCCAATAGCTTATTGCCTGGCTTCTGCAGCGGAGCAATGACAGCTGAAGGACCGGAAGTGACAAAATCAGTGTCACTTCCAGTCCCATTGGAGTGGGGGAGGAGATCTGTTCGCCGGTCTCCTTTCCCACTTCCTGCCAACACCTGAGATGCTAGTCCTGGGTCCACAGGAGGGACAGCGAAGCCCGGGAAGCAAGACAGGGGTGTCGGGCGGGGGGGCTCGCACTGCACCAGCTCCTGAAAGTGATCTTGCGGCTCGGCCGCCAGATTCACTTCCAGTGTAATGCCGACAGTGGGCTTCACACATGTAAACAGATTCCGCCGGGAGTCTGTTTAAAGGGGCCCGCTGCCAGTGATGTATGAGATACGTCGGTAAGAGCAAAATGGTTAAAGGATGCTATGACTGAAAAAAGGTTGAGAAATGCTGCCGTAGATCAATATGAAAAACCTGAAAATTTGTATGTCATACTTTCCCTACATGTACTGCAGGTTTGGACTACAAAGAAGCATGTGCTGTGTAAAAAAATGATTATGGTTATTATAAACATGATATATATGATATATAATTATGTATTGCATACATAATCTGGATATTTGTCAAACTGGCACTACTACTAAATAATAATGGTACAAATTGTACAAACATAAACTTTATATTTTACCTCATATCCTTTGAGAGATGGGCCGACAAGAACTACTGGCCGCATTGATGGAACAACATCATAGGGCGCGATGTGCTCTGTCTGAAAGGTAACAGAATCTTTTAGCTGAAGGAAAACAGCTGCAGTATAGTGCACATGAACAGAATTCTGCTAAGTGATTCATGGAAAGTCTGCCAAAATCTTACTTTTGCAATTAGTGTTTTACGGTAGCAGCCCATAATTAATATTGGTCTGGAAATGGTCAGTTTTTAAATATTGCAGTGTCTGCCTTGGAAATGAGTAGAGCAAAAACTAAATCTGCCTTATTTCACATAGTGGAGACTGGACTGCCTGTGGATTAATTAGGAACCAAAGAGCCAGCCTGCATGTAGCGGTAACCCATACAGTATCAGTGGTCAGGCTGCCCATTTACAAGCCAATAATTTTAAAAGCTGCTACTAATCTGATCATTATTCCTCATAATAGGACAAAGTAAGATTTAACAAAAGAGTGATAATAACCACAGGAGAGACTCAAAAATGATTGCTTTGGCTCTCATGTTGGAAAATCTCTACATCTGATTTAGCATTGTTCACACAAACTTACATATTACAATCTAATTGTAGGTTCACTTTTAGATCTGCCAACAACTACATCATGCAAGTTTGAGCAAACAAAGTCTCCGGAGATGTTTAAAGAAGAACGTTTAATTTTATCCGCCAGGGGACCAAATGCACAAATTCTGATAGGTGGCCCCTCTTTGTATATTAGTATTGGCTGTAGCTCCATCCCCAGTGTGAAACACAAAATTTGGGGATGTAGGGGAGGTACAGCCAGCACTGAGCCCCTGGCCCCTTCCTAAGTTGACAGTTTTTTATTATTATTTTATTTGAATGAAGTATCAGGACTAAATGGCTATGTGATAGGGCTGCCAGTTGCTAGTAAACATACCTATGCACGACTTCTTTAATATTTTTAAACATCTCCAGACTTATCGACCTCAGCAACCTACCAGTCTCATTGTCCGATACCCCTTTCTGCTAATCTTTACACTGGCTTATGACTACCCAATGAGTTAAATTCAAAATACTAACAACAACATACAAAGCCGTCCACAACTCTGCCTCCAGCTATATCACCAACTTAGTCTCAAAATATCACCCAAACCATCCTCTTTGCTCTTCCTAAGACCTCCTGCTCTTCAGCTCCCTAGTAATGTCATACAATGCTCACCTCTACGTCTTTCCCAAAGCTTCTCCTATCCTCTAGAACTCCCTACCCCAATCTCACCAGCTATCTCCTGCTCTGTCTGCCTTCAGGTAATCTCTGAAAATGTATCTCTACAGAGAAGTCTAAATCACTTCTATCTAAAAACTGAACTTTTAAGCTGGCCATGTTAGTGTTTTCTGGTTCTGACCTGTGGGCTGAACGAGAAAAAAGGTCGCTGTCAGAATACCAAAACAGTGACTGCAGTCCCTGTTCAGCCCGAAATTGTTCGGTCCAGCTCCTGTGAAAAAATTCGATTGAAAAATGAACCTCTGTCATTTAAGGGGGGGGGGGGCGTTTTTGATGCATTTTGCATGATCCGGTACGTTCCAGACCAGAAAAAAAAGACATGCAGTTTTTTTTGGTCTGGAACGGAAAGCACTGCAAAGGTGTGAACTGTAGCCCAGAAATCACAGAGATCCATTGGGATGCATTTTTGGGCCAGGAGCTCACTGTTCTGGTCTGGACAGAATCTGGACATCGTGTGAACAAGCCCTAAAGTATTATCTGCCATTGCAACTCAATGTGGCTCAATTAGGTTAAAAATTTCAGTCTACAATTGTCATTTCCCAATGTAGGTTTGAATATGATTGGCTGCTAGAGGACAATAAACACAATTGTTAATAGGTTAGCCTACCGTGTTTCAGAATAAAAGCAGACTAGGAAGTCCAGGAATGACTATGTCTGTCTACAATTTACTAGTCAACTACGCAGACTATTAATTGAAACTAAATAACACTACTGTTGTAGTGTTCATTCCATGAACATCGGTGTGTGTTTTACATGCTCTTTTCAGAATGAGCTTACCTGTTTTTGCTTCTGTTTGGCTTATTAAGGGAAAAAGCATTGATACAAAGAATGCATTAGTGACAATAGTTAAAAAAACAAAGATTGGAAAGCCAATTTACTGACACCTTCAATCTGAGACCTGTTTGTATATATGTTTAGCAACTAGGTAACAGAATCATTTGTCATTCACTCGTAAATGTGTACTAAAAGAACTGTCCTAAATATTGGCTACTAATGATCTGCCACACATTTTGCCCTACTTTTGCCCACACTGCCCAGGCATGCTGTAGAACCCAGCTCAGCAAGCATTTTTTCTGTTGGTTTATGGAGCTTGTCAACCAGAGTCAAGTCATCAATGGTATTTGGGTGACCAGTACACAGAACATAAAGAGCTTCCTGCCTCACCAGTTGGACATTATCCTATACTCATTCCAGCACCTTGGAGTTCGCCCTCTTGTAACTGGCCACTCTAAACTAAGAAAACCTCACCTGAAATAAGTAAGGATTGATGGGGAATAACAGGGGTAGGTTTCAAAGAACAGTGGAGCCTTTCTAACAATTGTGGACCCCTATGTTGTTAGACCTGAGGCTATTTAGAGAGGACCAGAATGCACTTTTATGCTATTGCTTTTAAGGTACTGGTAAATTAACCAAAGACTGAAGGCAGGGCACTGCAGTGTGTTGAGGTGATGCAGAAATAGACTAAATTTGTGTAGACTAACTTAGTCCTGGGGAGTATTGTGTTTTATGATCATCAGTGGAATCTTTGTGAATAAATGTGATTTTGTTTGCCCATGGAATCTCACCCTTGTTTTGTCAACCTTGACATCCACATTTAACCTTATGAAATAAACTGTCCTAAGAACTATGAGGACAGCCAGAGTACAGTTACTGATATCAATCAATTGTCATATTAAAGTTAAAACTGCTCTAAACTACAGAAAGTTGACCAGTTATATAGTTATTGCACTGTGCATGTCAGAATGTATCTTTATATTCTACAGCCATATGGGTAAAAACATCCATTCCTAGGTCAACATCTTACCTCATTAAGTACTCTCAGCTATCCTCAGACAATTTTATATGAAAGTTGTCTAATACCCAGGGCTTTCCCTCTCACTTTTACTGTGAGAGCCTGCAGTTGGGTGGAAAGGCTGACTGCTGACAGAACACTAAAAAGGTACAAAATCTGCTTGTTTTAGGGAACCCATCAAGGGTTAGTTAGGAAACTGACATAAGTTTAGTTAGTGGCTTGTACGAGCAGATGTTGACTTGCTTTTGTATTGACCTGCTGCCTTGCTGAAAAGGTGTCCGTGTCTCATGCATGGGTAACGTTGCACTACCATACAAAACACAAAAATTCCCCAGCCTCAACCTGCCAGCCAGCCTGCAACCAAACAAGTAGCCCTGTCAACAGTATGCGTTAAAATCAGATTGGCTACCTCCAGGTACACCTGCATGTAATTTATCAACTTCATTAATATGCTCACACTTGGAGACTCGAATACATAGAGTTAGGACCACACTTTGCAGAGGTGCCTTGGCGCGGCAGTGTGGCTTCTACATATTGTTGGCCAAAAGTTTGTGCAACTAAACCTCTGATTTTAACGCATACTGTTGACAGGGCTACTTGTTTGGTTGCAGGCTGGCTGGCAGGTTGAGGCTGGGGAATTTTTGTGTTTTGTATTGTTGTAAGCCTTCCCAATGTGCGCCCTGCTATAAAGGCCGGTTATAGATTCATGCATGTACCATTTTTTCAACGTTGCACTACCAGTTGAGCCTGTCCGGTCCCTCTTACAATATGTATATGTCTGTGTGTGTCTGTGTGTGTGTCTGTAAACTTCCTCATGCCTTAACAGATTGTAAGCTCTTCCACCTTCTGTATCTTCTCTCATAGCCTAAAGCTGGCCATACATTGGTAGAGTTTTGTACAAAAGTTCATACACAAATTATTTTGAAAATATTTGATAATGCTATCAGAGACTTGTAGAATGTCTTTTAAAATGTTGTTTGATTTTAATATTCGATTTTGAAAACAAATTGAGTATTTCGAATGACAACCACATTCACTGCTAGAAATTCATTCACTCGAGAACAATTTATTTTTGTTTCCTCATTTTGATTCCATCAACTATTAGAACATCGAATTACTGTTTTGAAGACAAATTTTCTTAAACAACATTCTACTGGTGTACGACCAGCTTTATAGATTGTAGACTCTAACTTAACTGCAACCCCCTCTCTTTCCCTCCCTTCTACTTATTACAGGGCTCCTTACTTTAAAATTAATCTTTAGGCGTTGAATTTCATAAGGACCAATTGTTCACAAGAGTTCCACAGCGTCCCAGGATGCTAAGACCTGTTAACAGCCTGTGACGCTCTGTGCGGCTTCCCACCCAGCTCACTTATGTCACCAATTGCTAGGAGCTGAGTGGGATGCTCTGACTTATGCTTGCAAAGCTCCTGGCAGCCGCTGACGGTGCAGTCCAGCGTCCGCTCCCAACACTTCCCCCCACCCGAACGACAAGTGACGTAATGACCATTCCCGGTCAGCAAAAACCCTATCCCCCGACCCCCACCACCACCCTGGAAAGACATTGCCTCAGGTGGTGAATACCTTAGGGAGAGCCCTGCAAACAAGTATCACAAAACTGGATTTATGATACACAATTGGTCATCATGTTACTATGGTATATGCTTGAATACCATAATCTGTGTGATGGCAAATCCCATTATCAGTTGTAAACTAGATTTGAACAGTGTTTGTCCTAACAAAGGGTTAAAGATCTAGAAGCATTGGGGTCTATTCACTAAGCTGCTGTAGGCAGCCGAGTGAATGACCGACCTGAAGTGAAGTGAGCCGAACACTGTTCGGCTATTCACTTCAGGCTGGTACGGCTGATTTCAGCCGTATATCGGCTGAAATCATGACCACGTTCGGGAGCTGTACGGGCTATAGTGAATAGCCCGTACAGCACCCCTTCAGTTCTACTGAACCGAAGGGGTCCTGGGGCCGAAGCTAGCTGAAGGATCGGCCGAAGCTACGGCTAGATCCTTCGGCAGCTTCGTGAATAGACCCCATTGTATGTTACTGAGAGGAGGCTCAGAGTGTCGCTAGTCTTTCTACGGACAGGGTTTCTACTTGGAAATTGAGAGAAAAGCTTGCAATAGCCTGCTACACAGACACATCTGAAAGGTAAGAAGTATTTTAAAAATATATTTTTCCTTATGCTGTGTGAATGGCAACACATAACAAACATATAGAGGGGTTTACTAAAATTTGACTGCAAAAGTAGAAATACACTTGAAGATGCTATGGGTACCTGCAAAACTCATGCAGATGATCCACAGCCTGATTAAAAAATATAGAGATTAAAAAGGTCCAGACTGTCCAGTACCCCTTCATAACCACAGAAAGATAGCTTTGCAGTTATGCCAAGTCGGCTTGGTGACACAGTGACATTTTACCTAAGTATTGAAGCATACCTTCATAAACATGAGACAGATAAGCATGTGTCTTTGACATGCTAACCAGATGTCTATTTCCATGTAACCCTATGTCTGCCAAGTCAACATGCGACTAAATGTCAAGCACTGAACAATGGGAGCCTTAACCTTTTCACTGTAGGACTAATTTTGTCATTTTGCGTCTGCATAAAGTGTTTACCTGCAAATTTGTTCCAGATTAGGGATTGAGTATTGAGACACGAAAGTCAGCATGATAACATGAAAACTAGCATTTTCAGGAGAGTTACAACAGTGTCTACCACGCTTCTCTCATGGCAAATGTACATCAGAAGTAAGGCGGTAAAAACTCTGCAAAAGCGTGCTTTGCCTATCTTGTTCTGTTACAATGTTCACATTATTAATCGGCACAAGTTAAATTTTAACATTTTCCATTGGGTGCAAATGTGAGCGATTGTACAAGGACAAGCAAAACCCATACATAGGTAATCACAAAATTAAGCTGGCAGACAGCTGGCTATACTTTAAATTAAACAGTAGACCTGTGCCAGCTTCTTTAGTACTTCAACAGAAACTGTGAAAACTCAACTGCAGCTGCTGTATTTTACTCCATAGCAGAGAACAAATGAAACATGGTACTGAGTTACCTCCTTAAGGTGTATGTTTGGGCAAAAAAATAAGTACATAGTACATTTCTGCAAAACATGCGCATTTTCCTATGTATATCCCTCTAAAATGCTGCAACTACAGAAAAATATCTGGTCTGCCAAAGATGCACAGAGCTGCTAACTCTTTCTGTTTGAGCTGATAACTCTGCTTTGATGAGCAGAGAGATGTGAAGAGAGGGAGGTGTTCTGTATTCCAACAGGAGACCCTGGATAGGGCTGACAATACTGCTTGGGATTTCAGAGCAACTGGGGCCGCACTGTCAGCTTATACAGGAAGTTCGGAGCTCCAGGGATTTCTTGCAGATCATCAATGGGTATTTTTCTTTTGTACTTGCAGTGCTCTTAAAGGAAATGTGCATGTATTGCAGAGATGTATTTTTTTAATTTTGCCAAGAGATATACTTTGTAGTAGACCTTCCTCCCCACCAAAAAAAATAAAAAATACAGATTCATGCAGCTCTGCATGCAGATCTATAAACACGGCCCCTTTAAAGTTTAATAAACCAAGACCACTTCCTGGATTTCTTGGACACTGGTGACATATCCCTGGCCTCACAGCTGTCCCCTGGTAAGGCTACATCACCAGTTCCTTCCAGGGAGTTCCAATGACACAGAGCGCATGCAAGAGATCTGGCGCTGATGTCATTGTAGGCTTATTTAGAAACACATTGTCACTTTGCCCTAAATCAGTGGTGGCGAACCTTGGCACTCCAGCCGTTTTGGAACTACAAGTCCCATGAGGCATTGCAAGGCTCTGACAGCCACAGACATAACTCTCAGAGGCAGATGCATGTTGGGATTTGTAGTTTTGGCACAGCTGGAGTGCCAAGGTTCGCCACCACTGCCCTAAATGGACAAACTGACAGTGTCAATTTAAAAGATAACTGTGCTTTACGTAGAGTTAGCCTTTAAATGAGCCCCCATCCCCCTCCTTCCTCCAGCATGACCCAAAGTCTTATACTAACCTATCCCTGCTCCTGCCAGATCTTCACTGTATGGCCCAGTGGGAAGCTGCAAAGCCACTGCTACAAAGCCTTCTGGCTGGATTTGTCCTTCTGCACAGTAAAATCTCTATTCATGCTTATGGAATGGATGTCAACTGTTGGGACGCATAATAGAGAGCCAGTAGACTTTGCAGCAGTTGTGCAGCTCCCAACAAGCCACACAGTGAGGATCTGGCAGGAGCAAGGTCAGGTGAGTATTAGACTTTGGGAGGCTGCTATGGGGATAGCCAAAGGATAATGCTACTCAAAGTACCGTCGAGTTAATCTGTATGTAAAACATTAAATGCAGAGGAAAAAAATTTGTAAAGTCTTACATTTACCTATAGATGGGGGAGGCGAACGCCGATTTCCGATGTCTCCCAAACCAGAGGTGTTACCACCAGACCTCCTGGATATAAAAAAAAAAGCCATTACTTGGGAATATGAATTACCTAACAGCAGCTCAACTATGCTTATCTAGGTCCTAGGGTGATACTAGATTTCATTAATTATAGCATGTATGATGCACACAAAAGCATAGGCCAATAGAACATACTTGGATTTCTGTAAGCCTCTTCTAACTAATAAGCACACTATGTTGATGTTTCTGTTGGCATTAGTGGGGTAAAAAGACAAGCATTCTTTAATCAAGGTCAGAGCTGGTCCCTCTAGGGATTTGGGTCTGTTAGTGGTTATTTTGTATATTGTTTCCCAATCAAACCACAAGGCTGTCCATGTATTGACGTATCATCTCACCTTGCTTTCTGCTCTTGTTTCACTCGAATGGCCTCTAGCCTCTGAGGGCTCGGAATAAAGGCGATGTCTCCCCCTTCTTTCACTAGCCTCCCGATCCACCAGTCATTGTTGTATTTCTGTCAAACCAGTTGTAAAAAATGATGTACCAAGTAGTAATGTTAAATATAAAATATTTTAAATGTTGGCCAAAGAAAGGAGAAAAAAAATTAATACAGATTTGTAGAAAGATTTTGTTTTTAATATAATCCACTTTTTAAAAAACTGTCTTAGGCCCTATTCACACTAGGGTGCAATGATGTACTTTTATATGCATTTTTAGGGATTTTCTTAACCCTTTATAAATTCATCTAATGATTTCCAATGGATCCATTCTCACCTTGCATTTAGGTGCTTTTAGATGCAGTTAGTTAAGCTGCCTTCAGAAAAATTGAAGTCAGATGAGTCAAGGAAACAATTTTAGCTTCTAAACGTGTAAACGCATCCATTTGCTGAAATCTCATTGGCTACTTCAATGGACTGTTTCAATGGACAAAGGATGGATGCATCTAAAAGTATATGCATGTAAGCGCGCGTGAACGTGCATTATGTTAAGCATCTAGAGGCATAAAATGTTACTATCCAGGATGGTAGTGATTCTACTCACTCACTAAGTTTTATGGCTGGGCTTTGCAGAAGCACTAGGTAGCCTACAGGTATGTGACCTGAAGGAAAAAATAATTTATCTTAACTGCACAATGATTTATAACCTAATGAGGCCCCTTGGATGCACTAGAAAGTTTACTACAAATGTGATTTAACCCTTTAAATCATAATGCCCTCCTTAATTGGCAATGTTAACTCCAACTCAACACTGCTTATTGCTGATTGCATGGTTAGAACACTGTATACAAATTCTCACCTCTTTGATATGTAGAAAATCTTTGGTTTCAAAGTTGATAGCAGTTCCCTGAACTGGGCATTCTTCATCCAATGCACCACAGTAACTGACATTGGTTCTAACAGCAAAGGCAACTGGCTTGAGCTGAGGAAAGATACAAAAGGTCTCATGTATCAAAGTGTTAGTAGTGAGAACTATTCTTATTGTATCACATACACCAATTAGATGTAAACTTTCAGATTCCAAGATAACTAGGTGGGGTTTGGGATAAAAGAGTATGAGAGTAAAAGATAGAAGGGTGC